GTGAGACTATTTGTTTAGGAAAACTTATGAAAATAAATTATGAAAAATTTCATAAGGTGTTTTTAACCTATTCTAATAAGTTCTTCAAGATAACTAAGTTTTACTTTTGTATTTTAATTCAAAGTACAAAATGCAATATAACTATAATAATAAAATTATTCATATTTATTTATGTAGGTTGGTCTGATAGACTTAAAAGACTTTTTTGTGGCTTGAAGCCTAACATTTTTAACTAAATAGGCTTATAAAAAATCCTAAGCCTTTTCTATTTAAGAAAAAGCCTGACCTGACCTGGATCTGTGTAGGCTAGACCGTAGGTCCCTGTTAGTTGGTCTGGCCTATTATCACCCCTAACCACACTCTTCATTATTACTATTTGATTGACTATCCACCGACAATAGAGACAACAAAATCTTGACATGTCTCTAACGACACTAGTTGCTTAACGCGTAGAGAAAACAAAACAAAAAATGACCTACTAATAATACTATAATTGTTATCAACTATAAGTAAATTAAAAGTTTGTATTAAAAGAGAACTTAAAAGTTTATATTATGTTCTTTAAAGCATATATTTATATAAAAATATGAGTCTTATTTATGGAAGAGCCTTGTTATATCTTATGAAACGAAACACACGATGGACAAGTAATAACTTCCTAAAATATATAAATTTGACTTTTTACTGCAATATGGGAGTGTGCATAGTGTAATTCTTGTGTTTCGTTAACCCATGCTTTGTAACAATTAACATTTCTCTGTATGGAATACATATGAGCTAGTGAATGATCAATATATATTAAAGGCTATTATCATTTTATTGTTAATGGGAGCTTATATATAAAGTAAAAATTCAACATTCACTAATATCATTCACGAATATGTCTCGTTAAAAGTTTAATAACTTGTTAGCAAGATGTGACAAGTAATATGCACCTGCATAACTTATTATAAGGATATGACAAGTAAAACGCATCTGCATAACATGTTAATTCTAGCTTTGATACATTGAAATAAAATAAACACATATTTATTGTATCTCTAAGATAACAAAGTTGTTACGTTTGTAATTTTATGATTGGCAAAAATTTTGGTAAAACATGTTTCATGTTGAAAACATGTATCATAGCCTGATGTTGAGTAACATGCCATGATATCTTGACCACTGGTACAGTAGAGTCTGCTATTACTATTTTTGATAGATGTTATGACAGATGTTGTCACATGTTATACAAGAACATCATAACAATATATCTGTTTAAACCCTTGAAGATGTGATTTTAAAATATGAAATTTTGGATGATTCTAGTTCACTACTATTAGAACAAGATTTGGATTCTACAATTAATCTCTGGATTTTGATGATAACAATACATATATTTTATATGTAAACAATTTTGTTTCTAATAGTTTCTTGAGTGTGCAGATTAGAAGTTCTAATTGATTCAAGACTATTGTTTGAAGAATCATAAAAAATATACCAAGCACACATCAGAAAGACTATTTCATCCGCTTCTAAAGAAACATCAGTAGTTATGAAGAATGCTAAAATATTCGCTAGAAAGGGGGTCTTCTGTGTACCTCTCAATAAGCCGCTGTTCAGAAGTCACAAGTATTCTAGAAAGAAGAACTTTGTTAGAGTTGCTACTCCAAGATCAGAAAACAAGATTGCATAAGAAACAAGCTTTTACGTCAAAGATCATAAGTCAAGATTTGTTCGTCAGAGGAGCTTTTGCTTCTAACTCTGAAGACAAAGTTAAGGTTCTGAACACATCAAAGGAAAGCTTCTACTTCCAAATCAGAAGTCAAGATTTGTTCATCAGAAAAGTTGTTGCTTCTAATTCTGAAGACAAAGTCAAGATTTTAAAGACTCGAATACATCGTGGAATATGCACACATTACTTCACATCAAAACATTCCATCAGAAGACAGATCAAGGAAAGTTAGTTCTTCTGAACTCATTACTATTCTACATCATATAGTCCATCAGAAGACAAGATCTAAGATGATATCTTCTCAAGCCAATCTACTTCATCAGAAGTAATATTCAGCAGAAAACAGTATCATCAGAAATGTGTGTAAGAATAGTTAGTACAAAAGTACAATTATACATTCCGCTCAAATGAATGTACTGTGTACTATTTTTCTCCCATAATTGTTTTTTACTATTGGCAGCTGGCAAGATGAAAGTGAAGTGTGTACTACTACAATGGTCTACTTCCTCAACGTCTATATAAAGGTCAACTGTTTCATTTGAAAATTGCAAGGCTTGAAAACAAGAACAGTAACACTGCACAAATCAAAGCAAGAAAAATAAAAGATCAAAACACAAGAATTGTTGTTTGTTATTGTGTTGATATTTTATTTGCTAGAAAACAAGATTTGTTGCTCATTAATGTGTTAATATTGTAAAATTTTTTAACCACAAGTGTTGTTGCTCATATTTGTGTTAAACAATTTGTAGTTAAACATTTGTGTAATCCGCTTGTAAGAAGCAATTTGTAAACACATTATTCAACTGGAATTTGACTGTTCCTTGAGCGACCGAGTAGGTCAGAACTCAAGAAGATTTATAGAAATCTCCTTCAAGGGACCGGGTAGGTCAGAAGCCTTAAGGAGTCAGTGATCGTTATATCTTTTAGGGGACCGAGTATGTCAGAATTCTTAAGGGATCACTAACAGGTTATCATTGTTGTTGTTAGTCACCGGCGGATAGCCCGTGCATCTGTAATTTTTCAAGATTAGTGGATTAAGTCATTTTCTAAGGTGAAATCACATTGGCGGGTGGACATGATTAGCCTTTTCCTAAGGTGAACCTGTATAAATCGAAAGTGTCATTATTTTTGTTTATAACATTGATTCTAATTCTGATTGTTTGTGTATTCATCTATAGGCGCAACCAATATAGGATATTTTTAGGAACATTGCATATTTGATTTGGTTTCATAAAAAGGATCTTGGAGACTTTTTAGAAAACTTTGAAGATTTGTTCCTATTTTTGTGGAGAAGATCTTGCAGTTGATTTACCGTTGGAAGATTGGATTTGATTGAAGAGTCCAAGTCCGTACTACAAGATTCTATATAAAAGGACTTACTAAACCTAGAAACTTAAGCATTCACAACAAGAAACTGTGGGTGCATATAAGGGTTTAGGGTTTTAAGAGTACTTTAGGTGCTTGTTTGTTTTTGTGTGTCACCCATGTATTTTTTGATACACTGAGGTAGACTGATTATTCATTGTTACTTGCCCATCACTCATGAACTTTTAAGCAAAGAGTTGATTGTATGTCAAGATATTATTCTCACTCATGAGCTTTTAAGCAAAGAGTTCAATATTGTTTATTAGAAGTGTAATCTTCTGTTTTGGTTCTTGTCATTGGTTTGTGACTGGTTTTATCACTGACGTGATTGTGGGAAGTGAGAGGGGGATCTCATATCTAAAAGGTTTCTAGGTAGAAATAGCACAAGGTAGTAATTAAGCGATAAGTTGTAAATTAGGGTTGTTTAGCTTTGAACTATAATAGTGGATTTCCTTCCTAACTTGGTAGCCCTCAGAGTAGGTGATGTTGCATTGAACTAGGTTAATAATTGAATGTGTTATTTTATCTTCAGCAATTTAATTTCTGCATAATTCATAACTTCTGCTAATTGTTGTATCAGGAAGATGGTGTCTTAACATTTGTCCTGACATTGTGTTTTGGTGTTGAAACATTCGTCTTGACATCTGTTTTTAAAGTGCCAGAATTTCAATAATATATGATTGACTCTATTTCAATGTCTCTGTGTAGGTGAAGAACTATATCTTACGAATAAATTAACAAAAAAATAATATATCAAGACGTATTTAATTAACAAGATCCATCAATGGTCTAATCACATTTAAGATATGGTCATTCACAACCAAGTTATTCCCTGTCCTCTTTTCAAGGTCGAAAGAACACTTTTTTTATATAAGTTTTTTTATGTACAAAAATTCTATTGTGCAAATGCTCAATTGTTATAACTTTCTATTTTCTAAATTCTTTATTTCAAATTCTTTTTTATGCAATTTATAAATTTTAAAAGCTTTTTAAGAGTTTCAATAACATTTATTTCATCAACATAAACAATTATAAAAAAATTCTTTTTCAAATCTTTTATAAAAATACAGAGAAAATAGAGTCATTTATATGTCTCTTCCATAATAAATATTCACTCGACTCATATTCTCAATACATTAAGATCTCTCCATAATCCTAAATCATTAATCCCAAATCATTAGCTTGTTGTGCTCCCCGACTATCTCCCTAACAATGATATAAGTTAGATGAATCATTATATTAAAGAATCTAAATGAAAAACACTTCCCTTTGCAAACCTAGAAATTTCTCAAGGTCAATCACCTTACTAAAAATCACTGCGAAGAAATAGCATGCTTTGATTTTGTTGATGTATTCACTTTTTTTTGTAAACACAGCACTAATATCACCCACTTTACTAAACTACAAAAAAACTTCATGCATCAAACACTAAGTCACCTAACTGAGAGCAAATGCCAATCAACAACTTCTTACAAAGGATAAGGCATCAAAGAAAACACGGGTGATTCTCAATTTTAGGCTAATTTCCCCAACCGTGGCATCGAGGTCAATTTAAGATGTAATTAACCAATCGTATCACACTACACATGTCAAGTCCTAGATCTGAAGAGGTTTGCTGAGGAGTCTCGCATTTGATGAGACATAGCAAGAAAATGTGTTTTTAAGTGGTGGATAGTCGTCATCTTAAAAGTCAGTTTTGTAAGAGTTAGATTTAATCTAAATTCTAATGTGCATTGACTATAATTTGCTTACTAATTAAAAAAATTACAATGATGTATAATTTCTTACATCTCCTATTTATACAACGAAGTTTAAATACACTGCATCATGATCCCATATGTATTAACATAGAGAAGTACACAAGAACCTTAAATTCACCTAGGAGGATTAACAGATGACAAAATCATGACAGTGAAAGAAATCATTTCACCTCAGAACAGTTATTAGGCCCAACTGGTTCTCTCAAGCAATTCGAAATTGCCATAACTGCTGATTCAATAGATGCATCTTCGCCCTGTTTTATTTCGTGTTAAACCATTACCACACCATTAACATATCAAGCTAATAAAAAGATATCTATCTACATTGAAATGCAAAGATTTGACTCTTCAAGAATGAACAGCAAGGACTGATATTACAGCCATTCATGATTTGTTATGTATCTAAAATGAGTTGCTCGCTTTATAAGAGCATAAAAGAAAGTGCGTTTACCTTTTCCCTCCAATAGAAAATGTTCCCATACTTTCCTGCCAAACGACTCCAGAAACTACGTGGGATGTCCAAATCAACTGAAGCACCAACGTTGAAATTCAGTATATTGCCTGTTCAACAACAAAAAAACTCCGCAATATTACTGTTATTGGCAGATGTATCAATTAGAAAGAAGCCAAAAAAAAATATAGAGGCAAAAGCAATTATACTCATAAACAATCAAATACAGGAATGTACTCATAGACTCTTTACCGAATGTGGGATCGGCTACAAAAACAACTGTACTGTCATCTACTTGCCAGAAATCTCTGACAGCCAAACCTGCATAAATTTTGACTTCATTAATCATAACCTGAAGTCAGCCATTCAAGTGAGCAAAGACTATGATCATAAACCTGGAGTATCGGGATAGTTCTGTGCCAAAACTCTCAACTTGTATCCAGTATCTTTTTCAAGAGCAGAAATCTCTTGTGCTAGCCTTTTCTCCTGAGCATGAATGATCAATTCAACATCATTAACATTCTTTCAAGAGCAACAATCAGTAGCCGGGTTTTAAATAGCTGTCACGATAATCAGTACAGTCATGTGGAAATCCTTAAGCACTTATACCATAAGCTGAAATATATCAATTAAAACCTCTCAATCATAATACCTGACCGTCGGAGAGGAATCCGGCAACATCAATGACAGTAGTAAACTCTTTAGGAAGCAATTCTGGTTTATTGACACCAGCTTTTGCTGCCTGGGCAATTTCAGCACCTACCAATTTCAACAATTTTCAATTTATTTTGCAGCATAGAAATTAAAAAAGAAAAAATAAACAAAAGTTGAGTGATGAGTAGTACCTCCGAATAATAAGCAAAGTGAGAGAGCACCGGATAGAGCAAAATGCAAAGGTTTGGAGTCAATTTTGGTGAGCAATGATGTAGTCGTGTTGTGTGATGGAGAGAGGTGACACGACAGCGTTTTGGGTAGTGAGAATGTTCGAACATGAGGTGTGTGTTGTGGTGGGAAAGTGAGAGATGTGAATGCTGATGGCTTGTGATGAAGAAGAAGAAGAGGATGAGGAGGATAACGTGTTATCATAGTCCTTGTCATCTTGGAGAAACAAAACTATTATGAATGCAATTTTCTATAAATGCATTAGAAAATGATGTAGCATTGTGTATATGCTTATGAACAAAGTTTATGGAAAAATAATTTTCTCAACTTTAAATGATAATGATAATTAACAAAGAGTTAATATTAAAAGATATAATAAAATTTTAAATATAATTATAACTTATAATTTTGATATTAGATAGTTTATTGATTTTTTTTTTTCTCTTATCTACCTCTATCTACTTCTATCTACTATCATACTATTACTAAGAAATTGACTAAAGAGACATCTTTGTCCTTTTATTAAAAATGATTTGCTCTGGAAAAAAGATTTTTTAGATCGGATAAACTCTATCGAAAATCCTTTTCTCGTCTCAATCTCTGAGTTTGGTGTTCGGATTGTATGTCTCTTACAACAGAAATCGATTTAATCTATCTATGTTCAACATTATACATGAATATATCTGTTTTTTGTCATTCACAAACATGGGTTACATATTTCGTTGTATATTCTTTGTTTTACAGTTAAAGCTATAACTGTTATATGCTATTTCAAACATCTCCTTCTATTATCTTTCTTGTATGTACAACAAACGTGTATCTTTTATTTTACATTTTTATGTATTTGTGTACTTCAGTCCCAATATTTAACTTTTCATGTAATATTTATGTGTTTATGTACTGCTTTCATGACTTTTATATCTATGGTTAGTTGATAAAATTTGTAATGATTTTTGTTTGTTTTTGTGTAGATCTATTGTACAAGGATCATCCCAATCATAAGAAATTCACTATCAACGCTTACTCACCTACTAGAGTTGTGAGTTCATTTGTTTTCTTATTTTATTTTCATTATTTAGTTTGTTCATTCACTATCAACAATCTTGTAATTGTGATGACGTGTGATTACACATAGCACATTGTGACAAGTTAACGAAGAAGCTATATGAAGAAGTTTCTTGTAAGTTAATCAATGAAGTTTTTGTTGCAAATATGTGTTCATGTATTTTAATGTATGTTGTTGATTTTGTATAGTTTTTGTCTTATAGCTAAAGTATGGTTTCATGTTGATTTAACATTTTTTTGTTGAGATTTTATTTTATTTTTTTGTACAAGATTAAATTTCAATAGTTATTAGTTCTTACACTGCTTTATGTTGTGCCTATTGTTTCCAAATTCAGGATCGTGGTCTATACCGACCGACGGGAAGGCACTGTTTCATCTTGCCTTAGCTCTTATGGGAAATAAAAGTAAGGAAGATAGTGAATAAACATTTGAGAATGTTGAATCATGTCGACAATAATCTAAACTTGAGATGTCAATAGAAATACCTGAGTCTTTGGATCTTATAATCTGAGTCTCTATATCAATGAATTTCTTTAACACTGCAAGTTTGTGAATTTATTTTGATATGACTTCTAATTCATAAATAATTTTATTCTTTTTTATATATTAATTACATTTGGATTGAACTAGAAGTTGTGTATCATTCCAATAATCATACAAAAATTGGTGTTAGTTTTGTTTATTTTCTGTTAGTTTCCTATTCAAAGATTGATATAGGGTTTAATGGAAAGACTTTAAAAGGCATGACAGAGATAAGAGATTCAAGAGTAAGTCAAAAGTTAAGGTTTGAGATGGTTTTTATTCAATATAGTATAAAAGTTAGATTCAATATAGTATAGAAACGAGCACTGTTATATAGTAATCAAAGAATTATGATTGTGTTTGTTAAGAACAATGTTATAAAAAAATTTAAGACACTACAATCCTTCAATCATACATCATGTACTATAATCCTTAAGTGTGTTTCGTTCCTCTCTATTTTAAATGTGTTAGCTATTATGTGTCCATTTCCAAATGCTATTGTTTATGTACGATCAACTCTAAAATATAGACAGATTTTTATGCTTAGTTTTTAGAAGAAGTCTATTATGTGTTGTCACTCAGTAATGAAATTCTTAGAAATTATAGTTTAGAATTACCCACTTAATTTTACAATTTTTGGTTACCTAGATAAAAATCATAACAACTATCTACATCTTCAGTTCAATCATAGTTAATTTCAAACTAGACTACTATACAAATTGTTAGTTCTTTCCTCTCACTATTCTTTTATTGATTAAAGTATAGAAATAAATTAAACACATGATTATAATAATAAAATTCGTTATTTCATGGGTCACTAACAATATAATATTTATTTTATTTTATTCAACGTTTTCTTTTATTCTAAAGAAAGAGTATTATTTTCAAATGTCAATTTTTTTTTATTTCTCCATCTCATTTATTTATTTTCATTATTTTTATATGATTATTTTATACAAAAAAAAGTTTAAACGGTCATTATTTATTTTATAATTAAATAATTCATTTTCAATCTAGCTACATGTATACATGTGCATCTAAATATATTAAAATTATTATTGGCATTTATATTTTAAATTTGTACATATAATTAATTTTTCATCTTACGGGTCATTACTAGAATAATATGTTTTATTTAAATTAATAATTTTTTTAGAAATAATATTTTTATTTTTAAATATTAATTTTTCTCCATTTCACAGTTTTTTTTCTTCTTATTTTTTTATGATTATTTAACATAATTAAATCAAGAGTTAAATAAATTTTAGGTCCCTGTAAATATCTCAAATTTTGTTTTTAGTCCCTCAAATATTTTCCTTCAAAGATTGGTCCCTTCAAAACTTTTCGTCTAGACAATTGGTGCCCAACGTCAAGTTCCACTAACGGCTTCCTATGTGGCAAGGCACGTGGATTAAATAGTTTGTTTTATTTTCTGATGTGGAATTCATTACATAACTTCTCCCGAGTGGCATATCTCATTACATAACTTCACCCAAGTGGAATTCATTACATAACTTCTCCTTCAACAACATAACAAAACATTGACGAATCTGCCTCTTGTGGTCCTAAATATTGAAGAAACTTCAGCTGGTTACTGCGTTGCTGCGGTCTCAACAACGATTAAGTAAGTCCCACTTGTTATAGTTTATTCATTCCGAGCATTACTTGCATGCCCCACGGCCTGGTCCCAAATTCTAGGGTTTTTCGTCTTTAATCTATCTGTTGGTAATGTCTGAGTTACCCCCTCCTTTTTTCTTGAAGTGTGTAGGCAATAGGATCATTTAAGGTTGTCTTTTATACCAAAAGATCATTCGTAAAAGATGAAGGGTTAAAATACGAAGGGGGTGATGTTTACGCTGTATGTGGGCAAGATCCTGATTTCTGGTCATTCTTTGAAGCCTGTGACTTAATTAAGGGTATAGATTCATCATTTAAAACTGAAGATGTGAAAATATGGTGGAAGTCTGAACATGGCTCACTTGAAAATGATCTAAAACCCCTTGTTAACGATGAGGATGCGATATTGTTAGCTAAGTGTGCCGAGGAGAGTAAGTGTGATGTTGAGATATATATAGAGGCAAGATTATCTAGTGGCGAGAAGACTTATATGGAGAGGTTAAAAGAGAAAGAAAAAGGCCACGTTAATGTTGAAGAAAATGAAGATGGCGAGGATAGTGAATCATCTAAAGACTCATTGAATGGTATACACTTTGAAGATAGTGAAGAAGAGAGGATGCACGATTTTGATGAAGACATGGGTGAAGATGCTGGTACATGTGGAGTGGGTAATGGTGATGGTACAGGTCAAATGGATAATGGTCAAGGGATACCTAAAGGGTTGACTACAACTGAGATGCAAAGGGAACATGTAATTGAGGATGATTACATCATATATGAACTTGATAGTGAGGCAAATGATGATAGTGATAGTGGTAGGTCTCCAGTGATAAGGTTTAATGAACATGAAAACCTTAGAAAAGAATTTAAATTCAAAGTGGGAATGAAATTTTCTTCTCTGAAGCAATTTAAAAAGGTTGTACTGGAACACAATGTGTTGAATGGTAGGGAGGTCAGGTTTGCCAAAAATGATGGGACAAGGTGTAGGGTTGTTTGAAAGGACAAACAACAATGTGATTACACGGTTTTATGCAACATGGTTTTGAGAACTGCATCATTCAGGATCAAAACTCTATTTCAGAAGCACAAATGTGGAAGAAAGTTCTTCAACAAGAATGCTAATGTTGATTGGGTATCTAGAGTGATTATTGACAAGTTAAAGAATAATTCAGGTATGAAATTGAATGAAGTTGTAGCAGATGTAAGATTGAGGTTTGCTACAGAAATTACTGGATGTAGGGCTTTCAAAGCAAGGCAGCTAACTAGAAAGGTTGTTGAAGGGGACTCTGTAACACCCTCTAAAACCCCGCATAAAATTTCGCAAATAATTAAAAATCATATTTTCAGAGTACATGTATTAACGAGGATGTCACAATTCTCTTTTAATAAAAACAAGTTCCTGTCATGCATAACATAGAAGCAACTCATACATGTTTACACAGCGGAAGAATTTAATTAACAAAACCAATGTTATAATATTTTCAAAATCATCAGGGATTAACACCTGGAATATATCAACATCATATTATAACAAACATAAGGAAATAAACGAGTCTGACTAAGGCAGCTCGACAAACAAATGTTCCCGGAGTTACAACTATCAGAGCATGACCCGGACAATACTTAAACCGAAAATAAACTAGAAACAACAAGCCTTCGCCAAGCACCTGAACGAAGCTCCTCAATCTGAAATGTTCAACAGTAAGGGTGAGCATCTCAACTATACATTTGATTATACGTTCATAACAATCAATTCAGAAAAACCATAAGCATCACCCAACAGTTAGCATGTTTCATAGTTTACGAAAACCCTTACAATTCATATATTCATAATATATCACTTTTCATACTTATAATTAACATCAAACATCATTAACAATTCAGCAACAATACATGCATACAATCAATTAAATACAACATTGGAAAAATCATCCATTCATGTTATATCCAATATAATGCAACACACCCATGCATGTGGTACCATTTTACCGCCCCATTAAATCTCGGGTCAC